GTCTGTCGTATGTCTCTTTCTGATGTTCATATGTGTTGACCTTAGGCCAGTGGTTCTGAATACCCCAACTGACCAAGCAGAGATACATAAAAATTCCCCACCTTCATAATTCAAATTCCTTATTCCTTAATTCAGCAGTTTAGTTCCAATAAAGACAGAAAGCAGGCAATTCGTGCATGAAGTCTAATAACATACCTGTATAGAGGTTGATCTTATTTGAGGTCATTGCTTCAAAGTCCTTGCTAACATTGGTGCTTATATTAGGTTTTCATCTGACTTTGTAATTAGCCTTTTTTATTGGTGGCTAAAGGAATATAGTATGAAAACAGTATGATCAGTTTGAATTGTTGTGTCACAAAGTCTTCATTAAATATTCAGCTGTAGCCACTGAAATCTCAAAGAACTGATGTGTGTTTGGTTTTGATTGATAATTTTTTTGCTCTAAGGAGTATGTGAGTTTGGGAAATCTGGGTGCTAAACTCACTGGAAATGCTGCCTCACAGCACCTTTGATTGCAAATGTCTCATAGGAAACTGCATCCTGAGTCAAACTGGAATGGAAGAATCTGGTGTTTAACTTCTTATGCTGCATGAAGGTCCAGTGGGTATTGTGATGTCAAGCTAGAGATGTACACACTTGAGGGGGGAGAAACCCCATAGCAGTTTTGTCATGACGTGGTTTCAGATCAAGATCCCATATGCTTTTCAATCATGGAATTGTTTTTCATAATCCTTGTATTAAGGTTACATTTATTTTTATTACGTTAAAAGCTTTGTTGTTGTTCATACAAAATCTGGAAGTAGAATGTCTAGACTTTGAATTATGTTAAATCCACTGCAATTTATCCAAGGATTACTTATTTGAGGTTATTTGTACAGAATTGCCATTAACGTGTCGAGCAGTTTGTTCTGGGACATGACAGTCAGCTGCAACTTGAGGGTAAACATAACATTGGGTACATTTGACTTGCTTCAGTGTTTTGCTGTTTTAATGGTAGTTATTGCTGCATTCAGGACATTCCTCCTGGGCATGTTGACTGGACAAGTTGTCAAATGAAGATGTATTCAATATGCCCACTGGATTTTGATACTGGACTAAAGGAGAGAGTCTGGTGAAATGTGCAGATCATTGTCTCAGCTGTGGTTTAATGCCAGAATTACAAACAACAAAGAAGGCCAGGTTTTTGGTTGGTTTTTTTTCCAGATATTTTCTAAATGTGAAGTTTTAGGATTAAGGCTTGGTAGTGTATTTAGAACTGAAAGATTCCCCCCTCCATATTATCCATATCTTTGTGTAGAAATCAGATTTTAAAAGCCTCAGCCAAGCACCCTCACTGACTCTACTATTGGCTGTGATCTCAGTTTGATAGCCCAGGAAGGATTTATTACTGCCTTCAAACAGAAAAATATATATAGATTTTGTATATATTTATATATTAAAGTAGGTTTAGATAAAAATGCCAGTTGCAAATGGTATAGTTGTTAATTGGCATCACCTTTACCTAAGGTGCATCCCCTCTTAGTATGTTGTTACCACACATTGACACCATACCTCCTAAGTATGGTTCTAGTAGTAAATGCAAGAAGAAGTTGTCGTTTAACAAAGGGGTAAACACGTTCTTTCACTTTGAGTCTTACTTGTTTTTGTGAGGGCAAGATATATGACTTTTAAGACCATTTCATTTTCTCATCTTTAGTTATTCTTGCTTTTAATCTTTTGTTAGAGATCCATTCCACTTTTGGTCAGAGAAGTTTTGCATCTGGAAATTTCCCAATGATTTATTGTGCATGAGTTGACCTGAAGTTTAATATTTCTACGCTTATAATTGAGTTTTGGTGGTCTTTGCCTGAATGTGGAAGCACTGATGGATAACGTCACCTTCCTAGGAGCTTGTATCTCATGATGTTTGTCTCCAGTTTTTCTTAGTGGCAACTCTAAACTTTGTTGGAGCACAAAACTCTCTTCTTCGTGGATGCTTGGAATAGTTCTGTATGAAATGTTGCTCTTGAGCAAACCATGTATGGGAGGGATATTTTTAGCATTGATTATTTCAGATCTGTCTTTTCCTCTGTTGCCATCTTAATGCATTTGCATATCAGAATGTTAGAGAAAGTTAAACTGCTCCTGGTTACCCTATAGGAGTTAGAGTGGGACACTGTGAGACTTCCCTTGGGGAACAGTTGCTTCCCAATAGTCTCATTGACTAACCTGTTACTGGAATCATTCTTACAAACAACTGACTGGTAGCAGGAATAATGTTTGCCTAGGCTAGTTCAGAAGCAAGGCGGGAAATTAATTGTTACCAGAGGGAGAAGTTAATCTGTAGGATTGGAATGATCTTGCCAAAATATGCTGTCCATAAGTTCAGACATCTAATCCAAGCTGGTTACCTAAGCTACTGAGACAGTAAGTAGAGCAAAAGATGCGTTGAGTGAGGGCAGTTCACATGTTCTCAGGCAGCAAAGGCCCTTTCCAGAGAGAAATTCATAAGAAATTGATGCTAAGAAACTTAGCATAGGTGTGTTTTAAGTGGCCCAGAGTTAATTTTGTGAAATCCTAAGATCTTCTGAGGTAGAAGGTAAGTTAAGCATTTAAAAGATGTGTATGGATAGGGGAGACAGTTGCTTGTGTAAGCATAAGGACACTTGTATACATTTAAACATGCAGGCTGTGAAGATTAGGTGAAAGAAAATGGCAAAAAATAGGAGCAATAAAGAGTAATAAAATTACTTGGGGTTGTGTTTTGAGTAGTTTGACTTGTAATGATTAATGTCACAAGTGCATGAGAAATTGTGGATATAATTTAGAAAAACAACATGTCTCTAAGCATCAGTGTCAAATCGTAGCTGCAGTCTGGCACGCAGTGGACTAGATTTTTTTGAGCAGCAGAGATGTTGAAGTGAGAGTACATAACAGCAGCTCAAAGCCTGACTATTCCAGGTGTGACATGTTGGTGTGGAGTCATACTGTTGCCCTCTGCTGGCATCTACTGAAAGCTCTTATGGCCTTACTTGTCAAGTACTGTGGTCTGCACGGATGATCTTGGAAGGACACTTAATTTGTTTCAGACAAGCTCAAACCCATCCTTTGACTGCAAAATCTTTCTCTTTTGAGAGACCCAGGGTGGGGAAGAGAGGAAGGAGGGGTAAAACTCCTACCTGTCAACGCTCATCTGCTTACAAACTGCTGAAAGCTCTAACTTCTGCATTCAAAAGCTCTAAAACATAAAAATGTCAGCTGTGTTAATTAAATATTTGAGTACTGACAACTGTTGGAGTGTTTGAATTTCAGAGCCATGGATTAAAGGCATCGAGGGTTGAGAGAGAGAGTATCATATATCACACTGCTCAATGGAAACACAGCTATAACACAGTGATTGTTGTCATCATACAAAAACCCCAAACCCGAGTTCACACAATTGTGCTTTCTGAGAGAAAATATTTGTGTTTCACAAGTGCTTTGCTACAGTGTTGGGCTGCTGTCTTTAACAGCGTTAGCTAAGCAGTAATAAAAGACAGAAAAGAACTGAATAGTCTGCTAAACAGGAATGTTTTTCTATCCCTTCCTTAAGTAATCATCTAACCTCAGCTGCCCTTGAATCTCTACACAGTGTGTAGATATGGAGACTTCGTGTTCAGCAGTGACTATCAGCTGATCAGCTGCGCTGTACTCAGTCCTTCTGAAGTTCTTGTAGCTGTCTGCATTACATAAAGCTTGTGATGCTTTGACATCTTGTCCCCAAGAAAGAAAACATCCTCTATCTTCCCTCTGAGCAATCATGGAGGAACACCTCATGTAAAGAAAAGAAGAGAGGAGGGATGAGGCTTCCCTTCTCCAAGTCAAGATGAATATTCCTGTTATTAGGGACTGTGGAGCTTTAAATGCCTATCTGTGTTACTGCCTCTCTTGCACTCAGCTCTGTGGCATATCAGTGAAATATGTTGGGGGTTGGTTTTGTTTAGGGTGTAAAATTTGGTTAATCTCACTTGCCTGTTTTCTGTGGTTGAGTATGAGTGTTAATAAGTGTTTGACCGTTGGACTGTGTTAAATCTCTCTGTATATGCAGAAATGCCTTAATGAGTGGAAGGCCGTGCATTGACTTAGTAGAATAGGCTTTGCTTAACTTGTAATAGACCTGTATTTGAAAATACACCATCACTATGATTGTGTACAACAAACTCCGTGTGGTGAATGAGAAAAAGCTATGGTCTTTAATCTTTGAGCTATGTTTTTTGTAATGGAAACAACCTGATCTTTGCTTTTAAAACATTGTGTTCAAGAAGAAGAGGCAATAGACTCAGATTCCAGTTCATTGTCTGAAGAGTTAAAAATTAAAATGCATTTCCTCCAAATTATGAAGCTTACAAACTCTTTTTGTTTCTGAACAGCTGAGTATCCACATTACACTAATGTGAGTTTGGGAAAATTGATGCTAAATGATGCCAGTTTAATGGGGCATTAAACAAATACTTTTAAGATATAGGAGATGCTGAGATTGTTCTGCTTCTATTTCAGTCATAAATTGCAACACAAGAATTGCAGAAACTTTTGATTAACTAGCTTCTAACACAGTTCAGATACAGCATTAAAAAAGAGTGGATTTTATATTTCATCGGGATTCTGACACCCAGGGGCCTCTAATAATGACCAGATGTGAAAAAGAAGAAATATTTGGGAGCAGTTAATGCCTAACCATAAAAGTGACCATGTGTAAATCACTGTAGAATGTGGTTTGGTTGTGGTTTTTTCTTTCAAGGCTGTCTGTGTGTATTCATATATTGCTAGTGCCAAATTAGTCACCTAAGAGGAATATTTTAGTCCATCACTCTATCAAGGTGGACCTTGATTTGCAATTTTCCTAATGCTTAGATCTGTTCTGGTTTGAATGGAGTGTGGGGATAAGGCCAGAAACAAGTACTTGGTTTGACAAACTACCATGCTGCAAGGCCTTCGTGTGCTGAAGCCTTATTTATGGGTTGTAATGCTGCTCTGGTTTTCAGGTGAGCGTCCTTACCAGTGTCCTTACTGCGACAAAGCCTTCAGCAAGAATGATGGATTGAAGATGCACATTCGCACCCACACAAGGGTAAGTCCCACACAAGGGTAGGTGTAGCTCAGTTTTCATTCATGGTTACTTGAGGATTGTCTATGAATCATGTGTGGCAAAAAGTAACTAATTACTGTTTGTGTAAATATTAGGCTACACCAAACAAGATATTTTATACTTAGAAAAATAAGATCCAAAGATTCAGGTCATTAACTTATAAATTCTAATTCTGACTCCCTTAATTTGCCTTCTAGTTTTTCCCGTGTTTGATTTCTTTTAGGTTGAAATAGTAGCAGTACTAACCTCTTTGCTTAACCTGTGGTTATTTATAGATATAAATTAATGTTGTTTATTGAGTAAACAATTCTGCAAAGGCTTTGCTGTTATTGGAACTTCAATACCCTGTGCTTTGATTCTTACTGTCTCTGTTAAATCCAGTCACTGTGAGCTTTTCTGGAGGCTCTGTTTTATTGATGACAATTATTAAGCTGTAAAATTACTTTATTTAACAGTTTATCTGAAGGCAAAATAAATGGTAAATTGCAGCTGTCTCCAAGATCACTTTTGAATCTGGAGTCTCAGCTCAAATGTTCCCTGTTGCAGGAAAAAGCCTTGCCATGTGTATTTGCTATAGGATGAAGGTGAGATCTGGGTCCTCTCTCAGACAGTAGAGAGATGGGGAGCTGTCTTCAAACAGCCAGATACGAATTCCCTTAGTAAAGGGAGATATCCAGGTTAAGCTGGTCTAGCATTCCATATACTACCTGCCTCTGGTTTCCCAGCCACCATCAGAAAACAAACAAGAAGTTAAAAGTAAACTGTAACTTTTACTAGTAGTTCCCTGGGAGCTGTTAGAGCTTATAGAGGTCAAGGCAGCTTTGAGGTCAAACCTAGAAAGTTCTTTATCTGTTGGGAAACACAGAGGGTGACATTTCACTTAGTTTCTATATGCAGATATGTACACAGAACAGCTTTCTAAAGAAGTAAAAATAAACTCAAAACTGTTTGTTTTAATTTCCTACTATTCCACCTAGGTCTTGAGCATATCAACTGGCGGTCCTAGATAAAGTGTTAGCTTGTGTACCCCAAAGTTTAGAAGTAATCAGTAGTTTGTGCAGTGCTTCCTGGTGGTTCACTGGGAACAGGCTAGTCCCATGTTGTTAGTAGTTTCTCCTTTTTTCCAGCTGTTAAATCAGTTTAAGAAGTGCTACAAATGGGTTTCTGTTGTTACTGTACCACATTCCTGTGTTTGCACCAGGAGAAATTTCATGACCATGTAAGTTCTAGAGGACTGTGAGTGGGTGGAGTGGTAAACAAGCTCTGAAACAGTGCCAAATTTAATTTTTTTTCCTAATTTGTCATATGGTTTGCATATAAAAAACAAACCCCTCAGTCTCTGTTGAAAAAATCAGAGGAAAATAAGAATAGGCCTTCAGAGCCTATAGTGATGTATCTCCATTGACTACAGTGATTTACACCAAGTGATATTTTATTCTAAACATGTTTAAGCTAGTAAGAAAGAGAGGTGTTAGGAAAATGGATTTTATGGAGTAGAGATTTCTTTTTAATATGCATAGACATTATAATTAGACAGACTTTGTATTGCACTAAGAGCATAATAAAATTTGGTTTGAAATGTCTCAAGAAATGCCCTACTGTACTGTGTAGTCCAAAGATCATCCTTAGAGAAAGAAAGCTCAGTTTCACAACAAATGTGATAGGAGTGTTTCCATATGCTTGAGATGTCTTGGTCATTTAGATCTGAAAGGTCACATTTCGGTTTTTCTATTTTTGTTTGTGGGTGCTGAGCAGACTGTTGGACATGCTTACAGTTATACTATAGGATTAAAATGTGCAGGTACAACATGATTTTTTAGACCTTTGGTTTGAGGTTTTGATTCTTTGTGGTCAGTGCTACTCCTATTCCAAAATGTCACAGTGAAGTTCATTCATACATGAATGGCATTTCATGTTCATTTATCCCCATGTAAATATTTTTGTACTTTGAGGTAACAAGAATCAATATTGATAACTTTAGCATTACTAGTAATTTTAAACATTGAAACCTGTTGTTATAATCTTGCATCTCCCAACTTTCCCTCTTCACACTTCAACACCTTACTTAATAGTGAAAGAAAACTGGACAGATGAAAGAATTGGAAGTCTTAGTAGGAGGAGAAAAGTATAAGTATTATATCATTACAAGTGTTAATAAAAACAATAGAATAGAAAGCAAAGTATATTAGAAACACAGATTTTTGAGTCAGAAGGAGGAGGAGTTATGCCAAGCCTGTCCTACAGAACATTATCCATGCAGTACTGTGGGATAATAAACTGTAGTTTAAGTATTCAGGTGAGTAAATATTGGTGTAGGGGAATAAATACATATTTTAGGTGATGTGATTCAAATGTAAGTAAAAGAACAGAGTGGGGAAGGAAGTTTGGGTATTGGAAAGGAATCAGAGGCAAAAGGAGGAGTGAGAACACTGAGAGGTGAATTGGAAAGACACCATTATTTACAAGAACACTTGTGTGTTTGGCAAGAATGTGAAGACTTACTTAATCTTAGTAGTAGGTTGATGCTCGTGAGGAACACAGTGTACAGGAGAGAAACAAAACCCCTTGGAGCAGAGCAAACAGCTGTTGAGCTGTTCAGGTGTGTCTGTTTTGGAGTGAATGTAAAACAGTCCCGTTGCAGCACCTCTGGTGCTCAGGGTGGTTGTGGTCTGATTCTTCTGGAATTGGGAGGCTGTGTGCATGTTAGCCAGTAGTCCAGTGCAGTAGTGAGCTATGTGAAGTGAAACAGCTGGAGCTGAGGGGCTGCTGTTTGTCTTGTCTGTGTTTCAAGGATTTTGTTGCTGGATTAGGTGTAGTCTGTTCTTGTGGGCTGAATGCACAAGAGCACTCCCTGGAATGCATTAGACCTTCTGGTTTAGCTTCCCTGAAGGAATTTGCATCATACAATCCAAAAGCTTTTGGAAGTGTGCACCAAAGCACAATGATAGGGGATGTTTGGGGAAGTGTCCTTCAAAAGCAGAAACCTGCTCTGAAGGTAAACACTGAAGGAGATGTGTAAGAACTTCTCCAGTGAACCAAATTTCTGTGCAGAAATGGTTTGAAACCCCTGAGCATGATGCTAATTCACTATAACTTGTTCTGTAATCCTAGGCTGCTTAAAGACAAAACGAAAGATAGGGAAATAAAATATGTAGTGTGTTTGCCAATGGTTTGAGAGTTTTTTTGTCAGTTCTAAAAACAAGAAAAGCCAGGAAGTCACACTTGAAATTTGTCTCTTCAATCATCCAATGTTTTGACTGTGCAAAACATTGTAAGGTTGTTGGCTCTTCCTTTTCTTACCCTTTCCTACACATACGTTCTATTTGAAACTTATTCTTGCATATAAAATAATTATTCAAAGAATAAAAAGTGAGATGTCTAAATCCAGAAGGTATTTTTGAATTGGCTAAGCCTGGCAATGTGGAAACATACATAGTACCTTCCTCAAGGGCTGTTGTTGTAAATAGCTTGAAAATAAGAGTGTGGTCTTTTGGCCAGAAAACTTGTGAAACAGCTGAAAAGTAAGACTGTGGCATTCAACAAGGAAAATGTCATTGTAGAGATTAAATCTAGATGTATTTTACCAGTGGGATTAAATGCCAAACCTGATGATGTGGATCAGGGAAGGCTGCTGGAAAAATCATTGTAGAAAGTTGATTAAGGTCTGGCAGCTGCTAAACTGAGTTCAACCTGGGTGGCCACAGGTGTCAGGTCCAGCTCTGGAGTAAACAGAGAAGGTAAGCCAAAACCCCTGCTGGTGGTGTAAGGGGGAGAGAACATCAACCACCTAATATTAAAATGTCACCTGAGTACTGATTTGTTCCTGTGAAAGTAGATGTGTTTGGTTTATGGTTTGTTGGTTTGGGGTTTGTTTCTTTTTCCTTAAGGAGAAGTATAACAGCCTAGGAAAACATAGATGAGGAACTCATTGAAGTTGTTGATGAAATGAATTTACAGACCATATCAGCTTTGAGGAAGTACATGCATATTTCCAACTTTCACAGTGCAGCTTCAGCTCCTTCCTAAGGCTCGACTCAGTGCCTGACAGAATATTACGTAGTTTGAGCTTAAACATGTGGAAAAGTTATTGTATGTTACTCTAATATAATTGTTGATGTGTGGCAATATGGTCATTGATAGGTGCCCAGAGTTATTGTTGTGTCAAGTTGATATTTTCATTACTTCTGAAAATGGTAGTTTTATTAGAGCTTGTTTCAGTGATGGAAAACAGGAAGAGTAGAAACCATTTGCAAATAGCTTTTTACCACTTGATTTGAGTATTTCATATTTGCATGTAACAGATAGGTGTAATTTTTGTAGCATGTTTAAAAACCTGGTTTCTGGTGGGTGGAAGGCTGTAATGCTCAAATTGTACCTTTCTGAGGTAATTTTAAAATTAGAGAAATTACAAGGTATCACCACATCCATTTTTTCGTGTATAAGTGCCTGTGATTTAAAAACTCATTAATCTCCTAGTATGTGCAAAAAAGCACTTCATGTTCAGAGATTATACCATAAGGAATAGAAAATTAAGTGATAAGTGTAATTTTATAACTCTGCAACTAACCTGTTCACACTTGAAATGCTTGGCCGATGTGTATATTTTAGTGTGTATGTGTATACACACATACTCAGATACATGTGTTGTATGGAACTGGCCACTAGATTGCACTTGATGTTCTGTAGCTTCTGGACAACTTAGCTGTCACTACTCACAGTGCTGTTGAGAAAGATTTGCCTTCTATCCTTGCTCGTTCATTTGAAGCTGGACAGCCTGGATACTGTTAGTGCAACCTCAGAATCACAAGGGTTGGTGTGATCTAGTGGCCTGAGTATGGGATATGTTTTGAAATCAGCTCTTGAACTCATTAGTCTCGCAGTTAATTGGTTAGTGGTGGCTGAGAGTGTTAGTCTGAAGCTTGTATGATGATGTGTGCCCGGGCTGCAGTCAATGAAAGGATTTCCTTAGAAGCTAAGGAGAC